CTGTAATTTTTACATAGTTACATTTATAGGTACAAAAATAATGTATTATACATTATAAATGGAGATCCAATCAAATATGAGTCTTTGCGTTTTTAGCATGCGTTATTATTGTCGCTTGGAACTCAATTCCCGCACGGGCGCAGGGGACAACCGCTACGGTTTAATACGTTTCCTAAATGTACACTGTACACTCTAATATATGATCTATAGAGTACTTAATGTGAATGCGTTTGTTTCTCTTTTAGATTTTATTGTCTCAAGCTGTGGGTTGCAGTAACTATTATGACTTGTGTGCATTTAACAGAGCGTGTTGCTATGGTAACCAAATGGATAGAAATTGCGGAAATGTTAAAAAGTAAAATATGTAATTTGTATGGATTTGCAGCTGTTATGGAAGGACTGTGTTGTTCACAAGTAAGTAAGCTAAATTATTCTTGTCTGGGAATAACCATTATCTCCGGTATATGTTCTAAAGTAGGTTGTTGCTAGTAAATGTATCTGGGATATTAGACTCAACTATTATACCTTTTAGGGTAGATAGTGGAAGGAGGGCTAGTATGAGAGATAACCATTGTATGCCTAGAGACACATGTAGGGGCAGATATTAACACAAAGTATACGTGTTCAACCATTAAAGGGTGGTGTTTGCCACACAATGTGTGTATTCAAATTTTATATTTTGTATACATCGCTATGAGTCTCATAGTCCCATATCCAACACAATGTGGTGTGGTGACCATCATCCTTTAAATGATTGAGGGGTTTATAGATGATATCATTGACATTTGGTTTTTATGTTATGGGTATCAAAGATAGTGAATTGTTGTTGTATGTGTGCGTATTATGTGTATTCTAAGCATTCATGGGAGTGTTTGGATCCAGGGATAAAGAGAATCATTTATCAGTATATATTTGGATTATCCAAAGACAACAGCATTGGACAGTAATCACTACACTTGGAAATCGCGTAAACCGAGCTCCAGACATAATCTTAGACCAAGACAGGTTGCAGTTGAGATTAAATGTATGGTTTGATCTTGAATTTAGGAGTTTTGATGTGATCAGAAATTTGTGGAGCTGTTGTCTTGTTGTATTTGAACACGAGATGAAGTTGAGATAGTTTGACCAAAACCATAAGTGCAGACAATTAATTTCTCATTCAAGTTCATTATGTACAATGGGATTTGTTAATGGAAGAGATTACTACACTAAGGAATGTTCTAAAATTCAGTGGATTACATTAAACTACTGTATTTTTGATCATTCAGATATCTCAATCACTCTCTTGATGTAAATAGTCTCAGTTTGATGACTCTTTAAACGACTAAGGGTTTGTAGATTGACATTTGGTTCTTGTGTTATGGTATCGAGGCCAGCGAATTGTTGTTGTATTTGTGCGTATTATGTGTATTCTGACCATCCCCCATTAAGCTATAGCATAATTCATGGCAGTGTTTATCAGTATTTATTTGGATTATCCAGGGACAACAGCTGATGTTAATCACTACCCTGAGGAAATTGCGTAAACAAAGCTCTAGACATACTGCACCAGGGAGTTCTCTAAATTCAGCAGACCCAGCTTCTGTATTTTTGACAGTTCAGAAATCTCACTTTCTTTCTTGTTAACTTTGTTATATTTCAGGTATCTGGTTTGAAATTGACTTGGGATGGTTTACGAAGATCTCATACAAACCTTGCCATTAAATTTGACACAAAACTACGTCACGATTACAAATGTTTGAACATCGGTGATCATAAAAGTATTCCCCTAACAAGGACAACTATACCACATATAATCCCCTTACTGCAGCTGCTGCAAAGGGATCCCTCCTCTGTCCATAATCAAGAAATTTGGGAAAAGTCTACGGATAATCACGGTTTGGATTCGGTGCTGATACACTTAGATGCCGCAAGATGTTACGCACAACAAAGTAATTTGTATAAAATAAATGCAGAGACAGAACTCCGTGAACTGAACGTTAATGATGAGTTGCAAGACTGTCTGAAGACAGAGTTTCATCTGAGAATACTATGGGGCATCCAAGGTACTGACGTTTGCAAAGAGGAAAGGTACGGGAAATTTAACCGGATTTTAACTGTCATGGCTGATAGAATTGAACCATTGCAAACTTTGTAACTTTCCAATTTTGAGAGAGTAGCATTTATTAACTAAAGGCAGTTTGATAATGTAAATAATTATTTGTTCTTTGTAAGCAGAAATGCTCATTTCAACTGACTTTATAGATGTATCCACATTGTAAACATGATGTCTCTGACAAAAGCACACATGTCACGTTTTTCAATAAATTCCAACTTCTGACTGAAGACTGTTGAAATTTATATATTTATGTACTGGATGCTCTGCACTTGAACAATACATTACAATGACACATTATGACATAGTATAGCGACACATAACAATACACTTTGGTGACATGTAACGAGAACACCATCGCATACAATGTAACTACACAGTAACATTGCAAGGTGGTGTATTACTGGCTTGGTGAATAATTGCTATATTCATAGAGT